TTCCTGAAAGAAAAGATGGTTTCCCACGTTGCGGAGCCGTCTGATAGCGCTTATGCAAATCGATGGTTCTTCCTAAGAAAGCCGAATGGCAAAATCTAATGGATCCAGGACCTTCAGAAGGTCAACACGGTGATGATACGAGACGTGGGCTCCGTGCCACACGCCAATTTACTGGCAGAAGGCGCAGCAGGTTGGTCGATCTATTCGGTCTGTGATCTGTTCTAAGGCTATGATGAGGTACCGCTTGACCCTAGGGACAGACACCTCACGGCAATGCATACGCCATTGGGACTAATTCAAATGATGGTTGTCCCTATGGGTTGGAATAATGGGGTAGCCGTTTTTCAGAGAGCCATGGTAGCCGTCCTCAAGGACTTCATCCCTGATAAGGTTGAAGTTTTCTGGATGACTTTCCTATAAAAGAGCCAGTAGACAGGGATGAGACAGAGGTTGTACCTGGAGTTAGAAGATTCGTCGAGCAACATCTAACGGATATTTGCGCGGTACTCGAGCAGCTGAACGATGCGAATTGAACAGGTAGCGGAACCTAGAGCCGATGGGCCGTCTTGACTATAAAGATCTTAGGCTTTATCTGTGACTCGAAGGGACGCCGAGCAGATCCGGCGAAGTTAGACAAACTTCTGAACTGGCTGTCACCGTTGCATAGCCCTACCGAGGTCCAACAGTTTCTAGGAGTGGTCGGTTACTGACGTATATTCATACGGGGGTATGCGGAGAAGGCTGAGCCATTGAGGTTACTCCTTCGAAAGACTGAAAACTTCTATTGGAATTCTTCACAGGAACTTGCTATGCAAAAACTTAAAGACGAATTTAAGGAAGGAGGATCCGTGTTGGGCGTGCCATTCTTTGATGATGAGACCGAGATACCCTTCATAGTATCCACGGATGCTGGACCATGTTCAGTAGGTGGTTTGCTGTCTCAGAAGGACGCTGGAGGGAAGGAAAGACCGTTAAGATTTGAGAGTAGGACACTTAATACGGCTGAGCGTAACTACAGTCAATTCAAGAAGGAAGTGTTAGCTGTTCTCCGGTGTCTAGACACGTTCAGACACTATATCTATGGGCAACAGTTCATCTTGAGAGTAGACCCCACCGCGGTTGCCTCTGTCCTCCAGAAGGACTTTAGTGTAACGGACCCAACTATCGCCCGATGGTTAATACGGATTCGGCTATACGATTACACGGTTGAGAGAGTATCTGGTACTAAAAATACCGTGGCAGATGAACTTTCACGCATCCCTCTCGAGCGTCCGATAGTAGCTGGGGCTCTGACAATGGCAGAGCCAAGGCGCGCCGAGAGATTTCTAGTTAATCTTTACGAGGGCAAGTACCGAATGATCGGACTACACCTTACAGGAGAGGAGAGTCAAGATTCAGAAATCCGGAGGCAAGTAACCCAGTACTGCCTTAGAGCGGGCCACCTTTTCCGAAGGCCAGTAGGGTCGGGAATGCCCTTACGAGTAGTCTGTGATCCTGAGGAGAGACAGACGATAGTAGCGGAACTTACGAAAAGATACGCCGGCTATACTGGTGGGATGGACAGTATAAGAACGTCGAGAGGTATTGTATGACATGCGAAGAGTGCCAGAAGAGAGCT